TGTCACAACTGTAATCTTAACAAATAATACACTTTTTAACATGTTAGCCTTAAGATGTATTGCCTTGTTTTTCATATAAAATTCAGTTAATTTGAAATGGCACATTCTTTAGCAGTTCATTTGTGAGGTATAAGCTCAGGCAGATCCAAGAATTGTGTAAAGATGGTCTTTGATCCTCTTGCCCATTTTTCCTGGAGAAGACACTTCAGCAAGCAGGCTTGAGTTATTTTCCCGTTGAGTGGGATTGGAAAACATTGCACAAGACCGGGCAAGTAATGTTTTATTGTATCTGGTTGAGGAAATTGATCTCCTTCGCAGGGTCAGAGAAAGTACGGTTATTCTCACAAGACTGAATGTGGGGCAAGAAAGATACAGTCAAGTCATCAGATTGCTTAAATATTGAAGGAAAAAAAGGAATTTTCTATCTTAATACTGACTATAAGGTACTTTCACTTGATAGTATTTAAAATACTTTGAATTAAATGTGTCTTTAAAAATAACACTAATGTTACTAAAAAATGTAATTTGCTGAAATAAATTCTGTATGATCTTCTTTTGTCATTTCATAGAATTTTTTTACTGTAAGGTATTAGAAAAATTAAAGTGTAAGTATTTAAAAATCTATAGAAAAGTGTTTGCCAATTAATGAAACTAGTTTGCTTTTTAAAATGTACTAAGTATATATAAATAAGAACTGTTTTACATTTAAGAAGCAGTTTCATTTATAGGAAATTATACTTGTAAAAGTTCTGATTATTAAAAACATAAAAATTCATGATGGTGGTTAAAAGCAAGAAAACCAAGGTTCTAAGCTTAATCAATTAATTGGGTTTTAGAATCTGGCACAAATGATCTTATACACTGAAGAATGTTTTATGGGTTTTGAGGTAAGTAACTGGATCTCATATCTCTGTATGTTAGAGTCTATTCTGAATGATTAATCTGTCTTGCCAGGTGATCTCTAAAGGGGAAAAACTATTACACAATTAAGTCATGCATAACAGTAGATACAAATCTAGTTTGTTATTATGATACCATAATTTCTATGTTATATTTCATTTCTGTAAGTCAAGATCCCCATATTCAGATGAACTTAAAAAGCTCTTTCCCATTGTTTCTAATCAAGCAGCATTTTTAGAAAATTTAAAATCACTTTCATGAGCAAGTTTAGTGCACCCTCTTGTGGCAGCCTCACTTTTGTAGCTAAATATTAGATTGAGAATCACTAAAAAGAATGATTTTCATTATAGTTTGAGTAAATCTTTATATGTGACTAGAAAACAAAGCTTAAACAGAGAACTGGAAGTACTTTTTTTTATTGACAATGGAGAGGTTTTCTGTTACCATTACCTTTTGACTGAGTCTGTTAAACAAAAATCGACATCCAAACAAATGTAATGTACGTGCAAACATAGCAAATTAAATACAAAAAAAAAAAAAAAAGAATTACTAATGACAGGTCTTGCTCTTAATAAGATCAAGCAGCAGAAAATCAGCAGTTAGATAAATGATATTATTAAATAGATTTTACTTTGAAATCTCCCATATAAACAAAGAATAAACAACAGTTAACACCACCAAATAAAGCCACAGGGAAGAGATTACTCTTCTATACTTTTATACACTATATATGTTAATCATTCTGTCTTTCAGTTATTTCCTCTGATAAGACTGACTTCAGGGAAGTCCCGACAAGGCCTTCTGGGCTAAAAGCTTATAACATTAGACATGAGTCTGGCTAATGCCCTGTCACATTGACAAAAAGGAAGGGTTTCTGGGGATTTTGTTTTTTCCAGTGGAGACGACCTCAGACTCTGCAGTGGTTGACAGTCACTGAACAGTGCTTCTGGCTGGCGGTTCAGGATATTTGGATGAACATGTGGTTCTTAGTAAAGAAGGTTTTTGTTCCTTGGTCCACAGGTAACAAGAGAAGATAATGTTTTTTCTTTATAAATTTTTTTTAAATAATTGCTTTGATTCTTGTAAACAGTTTGGCTTTGTTTTGTATTGAAAAGGAGATCGAGCCATCACAGTGCTATTTCTAAAGATATAGGACATCCCTGATTGCCTTTAAAGGTCTATTTTTGGCTCCAGTTCCAGGTTAAATCATTCTTTTTTACATGATCAGAGGCAGGTTTTCAGCTTTAAGGATTGACAGACTTGAAGGAGAACCATGTGGAAGCATGAAGCGTGCTTCCAGGAAACATACCGATTTGACTGTTACAATTCAAAAACTGTAAAAATGGTGGAATGGTAAAATACAAACAGTACTTGGAATTGTCAAATGTTTGCACTCAAGACTCCATGAACCATATATTTTATTTTTTAAAAAATCATATTTATATCCATTTACATAAGACTTACACATTTAAAAAGAAATACATACACAGTAATACATAAAGGCCTAGTATATTACAATAAAACATGGAAAAACAAGTGGCTCCATTTCATAAAAGCATCTGTTGTACAGAATTTATGATGTGGATGATGCTTATTATTCAAATGACTTAAGTATTTTCTTACAGTTGTAGTAAACTAATCAAACTTAATATCTGACTCCCCCCAAAATCACATTTTCAGTGAATGAACCATTACTTGTGGTTATTTCCTTAGAATTCAGTCTTCACAAAGGTTTTCAATGCTGTCTTCGTAGATGGTAGTGCACTTTAGGCAGAGTAGACTGAAAAGACGGCATCTAAAATGTGTAATGGACATTAATTTACTGAAAGATCCCAGACTGGAAAAGCTCCCTCTGCTATTCTTGGTGCACTTCCATGCATCTTGCCCACTTTTGTCCTAAGAGATAATGAGTAGGGGGTTATCTTGGGGCTAGCCAATAGCTGTATGTAATCAATATTTGCTCCTAATTTTGTGCAGGCAAGCTTCAAAAATAAAATTTGCTCAACTTCATGGAAAGTATGGCAGTTAAGACAAAGATATTCAGAGAAAATGTCAGCAGTCCTTTTTGAAAAATGTACGGCTTGCTCATTAATACACTGAGCTGACCTATTCCATGGAAGAGATCTCTATTCTAACTTCTATATGGTCTTCAAAAGACACTGTTGTTTAATAGTGACAAAAACATAGTGATAATCAGTGACATAAAGAATCTGGGTCAGTGATGTGTCATCACAGATTCTTTCCAGTCATAATAAGGAAAAGATCACAATTACTATCCCAGCACAAGAAAAATATTAACATTGGATTGGTCAAAAAGTTCATTTAGGCTTTTCCATCCATAAGGTTTTATGGGGGCTTCCTAGGTAGCGCTGGTGGTAAGGAACACTCCTGCCAATGCAGGAGACAGAAGAGATGTGGGCCTGATCCCTGGGTCACGAAAATTCCCCTGGAGTAGGGGAAAATGACAGCCTGCTCCAGTATCCTTGTCTGGAAAATTCCAGGGACAGAGGAGCCTGGAAGGTTACAGTCTATGGGACCACAAAGAGCTGGATGCGATAGTGCATGCAGATGTACATACACTTACATAAGATCTTACGGAAAAAGCAGGATGAACTTTTTGGCCAACCCAATATGTGCTGAATTACGTTAATGACAAAAGTGCTGATAGTTCCTCAAAACAGAAATTGGTTGTCCCAGATTAATTTACTGGAAATAAATATGTTTATCCCATTTAATGGTAAAAGCTAGGAAATAAGGACTAGAATGCCATGCACAAAATACAGACTGCAAATAGTTAAAGAGTAGTTCTACCCATCAGTTAAGAGCTAAGAAGCAAGCAGTACTCAGTATATTCAATAGTCATTTGTAAATTTGTGATGTATTCACGTCCTTGTAAATTATTATATTATGTGTAGAAACTATTATAAATGGTATTTTGGAAAACCTCATTTAGCCAAATTATTAATTGTATACTGTAATGAAATTTTTAATGTTAGGGTTTTGCATTCTGAAATTAAATCTCTTATCTGAAAGCTTTTGTTTTATCATCAGCAGCTTCAAATAGTGACCCAAATAAGGCAGCGTACCAGCTCCTCTATTAGGCCCCAAAGACCGTCAGTAAACTGTATGGAGCTTTTAGTTCAAGGCAATGAATAAACAGCACAAGATGAGCTGTTCCTCTCCCCATTCCTGGGCACACATTTGTTTCTAAATATTGCCCTAAAAAATATTTTCCCAAAATATTGATCCATGTCCATGGTAGACTATTTTAGTAGAGTTGTAGATTAAAAAATGTCCTTGACATTTATATTCTAGGAAAACTCAGTTTTACTAGGACTGTTCTTTAATAAAACTTTGGAAGTAGGTTCCATCAACTAGTATTTCTCCAAGTACAAATACCTTATATCTTAATGATTATACAGCATGGTTTTCTATTCTGTCCACCATTGTTATAAAGTTATTTCACTTTTTTCCTATGCTGTACATATGAGATACTTAAAATTCCTATGTATTTCAACAAATATAAATCATTTTGAAGAAAAACAACATACCAGAAATTCAATTTTCTCAGTTATATTTTTGTTTTTTAATATGAAATCACCTCCATGTCATTTGCCTGTCTCTGCTACTATTTTGACTATGGATACCTACTAGAATACTGTTTGCCTATTTCAGCTTCCCCTATATAAAATACTCACTTAATAGTGTCTTATTCTGAAAATGCCGAACTCTCATCAATCAAATGCTATGTGCATTAATATAAAATGCTCCTAAAAAGTAGAAGCCAGGGTGGTAGCAACGCATTGATGTGAAATAAGATAGTGACAGGCCTCCAATAGAGAGGTCTTAAACCATAGCAGACAGACAGTGATAGAAAATCCTAGATTAAGAGTTACATTATGAAGAAGCCTTTGTACTCTCTAGAAATTCAAAGGGGTTATTATTTCACTTCTGTACTGCTAGGCCATACCAAAGAGAGCATCGTGTGTATTTCTAGTCTATGTAGATTCCTTTTTTTGGTTTTTTTTTTGGCGGTTTGTTTTTGTCAGCCAACGAAAACTACTCACAGCAAGTCAGTGCTGCCTCCTTTGAGTGGCTTGTCAACATGAGTATGTACGAACAGTGGAGTTGTCTAACCTCTGCAGTCTTGATGAAGCAACTGCAAATGGAGAAAAGGGCTTTAGAGGGACTCAGGTGATGGAGGACAAAATTTCAGATGAGAAAGGTTTACTTTCCCTGCATAAAGGGATCTGGACATATTAATAGATCTTCTTTCTCTCAGACAGAAGCCACTCATATTCCTTTTCTTGAGACCAAGCTACTAATGAAAATGTATTCCAGTGTGATTCAACTGAGCTTTCAAGTTGTGTATTCCTCCTAAGATGAAGTCTGTTAATAGGAATGGTTCCCTTGGGTGCTCCTGTTTTTGAAGCAAAGATTGCTCTTGGAGAATGCAGTATGATGGATTTTCTTCCCTCCCATATTGAAAAGCTTCTACACTCATTTTAATCATATTAACTTCCTCATGAACTTTGATACTGTATTCCATAATAGTAACATGTTAGAAGAAATATAGATTAAAACTCATGGCTTATACTAGAACTAATTTTAAGGGCCATGATAACTATCACCTTGAAAAGAAATAATGATTGATTGGTGGTTTTCTCAATAAAAGAGAGTGGGACTTTTTTGTTCAGTGCCTACCAAACAGACAAAACTTTGTGACTACAATTTCAGGGTTGTCTCTCTCCTCCAGATTGGCTGTTTTCCTTTGTGAAATATATAACACAAGTCTAATGTCCACAGAAGGAAATACTAATTGGGAAATTACTGTTGGTTTTGTGTTTGTTTAATTCTCTTCTCATAGTTGTGCTTGTTTATTTAAGGCCTTCTGCCTCGGTCAGAGATGAAAATATCTGATGAGTCCAAGTTTTTAAGATGAAATATAAAACTTTGCAATATTCAAGCATGTAGTACAACAGTGGAGTTAATTTCCATTTATTAAGGACAGTTAGTCCAAATCCAAACTCTAAACAAATTATTTACTTGGTGAATAGAAGAGTAAAGAAACACAAATCATGCAGATGTTTTTCTTCCTAGATGTGGACATTAGCCAAAATTGTCCTTTTTAGGATTTAATTTTAAATTATTTTTTAAATGTGAATAAAGTGCTGTAAGTTCATGCATTAGCAATTTACAAAAGAGAATAGTCTGATGAAAGCAAAGCAAACTTCAAGCAAAGCAAACCAACTTAAGAGTCAATTTCAGAAAGCTGTGCAAGATTGGAGAATGATAGCATTTGCTAAACAATCATTTTACTTTATAAGCACAAATGCAAAACTACTGTACCATCTGTTGTCATTTTCCTCGACTGCCCAGACGTTGTAGTTAACCTGAATCCAGCCGGCAGTGTTTCTGAGGACCCGGGCATCATGCTGATTCCATGTACTTCACGGGGAGGAAACTGCCTTCTCCAGGTTGACCCACGCCTGAAATTCTTGTCCTCACTCTGCCAGTACAGAGTTATAATTTGATGTAATGAAAACAAGTAAACTAGTCCAGGTGCTTAAAACCATGTGCTTAGAAACATGTAACAGAAAGTTAATGAGAACGATAAGCAACAACATCACAGGAAAAGGTTTCTATGAGAGGATATTAAAAGATGCGCTCTCTAATCTCAACTGAGGATGTGCTCTCAGTGGCGTCTACAGACGCCCACGAGATTATTTCAGTGGGATATGGATAATCAGCTTCTCTCAGAAACAAGTCTGTTCTGGCTCTAGCTAAGTTGTTTAGACATTTTTGTTCACATTCAAAGAACAAAACCAAAATCAAGCACAGCAACAAACAGAACACTAAAACAAGAGACTAGAGGGTTTGAATGATAAAGTCATGTGCTGCTCTTAATAATAAGAAAAAGAGACAGCATATTTTAAGGGCAGATAGTCATGTTCCATTTAGGCTTTTCAGCTTGTCCATTATTTTCAAGAAGCAACACTAGAACCCACATAGATGTGTACCTTGGCCTAGGCATCTACTTCAGGTCAGTCTGTGCTTTAGAATCTAACAATATAACAGGTCTTTAACAATTTTTATTAAAATTCCTTTTCTAACTTTTAAGTAAGGATAATTGTATTTAAAACTGTGTATGGGTTTATGTATACTATCTTTTTGTTTCAACAATTAAAAATAAAGATTAAAAGCAGATACAGACTATTTTGTACACAATATATAAACAGCATGGTCCTACTATATAGCACATGAAACTATATACAATATCCTATAATAAACCATAATGGAAAATAATATGAAAAGAATAGATGTAGAACCAAATCACTTTGTTGTATACCAGAAACCACAACATTGTAGATTAGCTATACTTAATTTTTTAAAAAAGAATAAGGATTGAAAATATTATCCAACAAATTGTAAAATTAAAGTCAGTTAAATATCAGCTGACTTTTAAAAATAATAAATATTATCCTAACTGGACAAGAGTAAGAATTTTAGGAAGCTAGCTGAGGTTCAGACTGTAGAACTTCCTCTAACCTCTAACTTCAAACCTCTAATCTCCTCCACAAAGCTTGAGTTTTATAAAACCAAGATCATGTTCCCTGCCCATTTGAATGTGGTATTACTGTGCCATTTTGAGAATTGCTGGGTTCACTCACAAAGCTATTGTAATCAGCTTTTCTTTACATCCAAGAAACACCTGCATTTTGCAACACATAATTATGCATCTCTGTATTTTCACCTCATACTCAGATTTTCCTCCCCATTTCTTCCAGAAAGATCCTTGAAAGCCTCAAAAGGACTATTAAAATCCATAGTGCATCAGTGCAGAGTGTGATAAAGTCCCCTGTATTCCTTCATCTCAGGAGGCTACTTACCTGTTTACTATTTTCAGATCATTTAAACATGCATATACTATGCGTAGAGATTCTCATACTCAATATAGTTTTCAATTCCTATGACTGTTAAAATGTTACTCATGTTTTTAAGGAAAACACAATAACAATATCTAAAATAAAGCTTCCCATTTATTGAGAGCAAGTTTTCTGTTTCTTTAAATATCCTAAAATTTCCTGTGAAGATAAACTGGTATTTAGAAATAAGCACGTTCCTTATTAAAAAGTTGAATTTATCAGGGCGTGTGTTATCATTACTTATAATTTAAAAAATGTTGCTCAACAGTATTTTGCTGTTACAGCCCATGAAAAATGGCTGATTCTGAATTATTTCTTACTGTATCTAACTGCTGATATGATAATACTTATGAATCCATGAAGTTCTTTTCCAAATCAAATGAATAACAAGTATCTAAGTGGAGGAAATTCTAGACTCCATCTATACAAGCATCTGGTTAACTTGAGCAGTGGTCCTTGAAAGCCATCTTGCTTGCACTAAGGCCCCTTTGAGTGACAGACAAGGACTTACTTCATCCAGGCGCCGTTCGGTTCCCAGAGCCAGGAGGTTATTGTATTCCCTTTCAAGAATCTGCCTTGCCTGTTGACATCCAATTACAGTTACCATCACTGAAGGCACATTTTATTGGAAAAATCATAGCGATTATATTTACCTCAGAAAACATCCTAATTCCCTGTTTTATTTACAAGGGTCTTATTTTTTCGATCCTCCATGTATAAGACATTGTAAATTTTGACTGTAAGCACAAGGAAGGGTGATTTTCTTTAGTCTGCGGACAGCAGACATTTAGCCTCACACAAACATCTGAGGTAAAGGAGTTTGACCTCACTTATTACTTTTTCTAATTGAATCCTTGATATAAACTTTGAAATGCACAAAAACGAACTAGAAAGTAAAGTTAGACTGCTGTATTTTTATCAAATCTACGCAGATAGTTCTCAAATCTGACCAAGGATCATCATTTGGGGAGACTAGATAGTTAGGATTTCTGTGCCCTCTCTCTTATATCTGATTTCTTAGGCCTGTTATGTAGATTGCAGATTTTCTTTTAAATTTTTAAGGAGCTCCTGTCATTCAAGTAATTACTCAGACTTGGGAATCAATGGCAAAAAGCAAAGCCGCTTGTCTGAATAATTCAGACATGTGAATAGAAATGACTGGCCCACAGAGAGGCAGAGACTAAAGGCCATCTGTCAGGGCCATTGTGTGGGGGAATCTGGCATTCAGGTTGGGAGGGTGGACCACATAACTTCTAAATCCCGTGCTGCTTCATTTTATGATTTTGTTTTGGCTAGAAATCCAGTAGCTTAAAATTAAAGCCCCAGTGACATATTTCAAAGGTTGAGCTAACTCCCATTAAGAATCATGAATACACAGCCACCTATTTTTTTTTCCCCCCTTAAAGTTTACTTTGTCCTTATATACAGCTTCCGTGGTGGCTCAGCTGGTAAAGAATCCGCCTGCAATGAGGGAGACTTGGGTTCGATCCCTGGGTCAGGAAGATTCCCTGGAGAAGGGAACAGCTACCCACTCCAGTATTCTGGCCTGGAGAACTCCATGGACAGGATAGTCCATGGGGTCGCAAAAAGTTGGACATAACGTTGTGACATTCACTTTCACTTGTATCAGCTAGGACACAGCACAAGTACAGAGCGGAGGGGCTTGCCTGGGTGTTCTGTGTTGGAATCTGTAGCAATAAAGCTAAGCTGCTGTAGTCAAAGTTCTCATCCAGGGCTATAAGGGAGCCGTGCACACCGCTTTCAAGAATATTATTTGCATATTCGCGAAGTCCAATTGCTTGTATCCAGCGAATAACACGATCATTGCTCCACACCAACACATCTAGGAAAAGAGGTGCAATATTTTAGGCTTCAGTATTTTGCATAATAAATAAAAAAACTGCTACCTAAAACGAGCCATGGGCATCTGGCCAGTTCATTTATGTTAACTTCTTTATCTACTTCCTAAGGCACCTAGCACCCTTGTGCTACATGTATTTACTCTTCTAATAACTATACTTTGAGCCTAGAAAAATTTTGTCATTTTAAGAGTGCTTGTTATCACTGAAATGAGAGCATTTCCATCACATGGAACATAATGTCTCAAAGCATTTCTTGTTTTCATTCTCAAGCTCCTGGGGTCTGTCTGAAGTTCAGTGCTTTTACCACCAGATGGGGACATTTCTTGATCATCTGAGTCAAATTCACCCATTCCAATCCATTTTAGTTCACTGATTCCTAAAATGTCAATGTTCACTCTTGCCTTCTCCTGTTTGACCACTTCCAATTTACCTTGATTCATGGACATAACATTCCAGGTTCCTATGCAATATTGCTCTTTACAGCATCAGACTTTACTTCCATCAGCAGTCACATCCACAACTGGGTGGTGTTTTTGCTTTGGCTCCATCTCTTCATTCTTTCTGGAGTTATTTCTTCACTGATATCCAGTAGCATATTGGGCACCTACTGACCTGGTGAGTTCATCTTTCAGTGTCCTATCTTTTTGTCTTTTCCTACTGTTCATGGGGATCTCAAGGCAAGAATACTGAAGTGGTTTGCCATTTCCTTCTCCAGTGGACATTGTTTTGTCAGAACTCTCCACCATGACCCATCCATCTTGGGAGGCCCTACATGGCATGGCTCATAGTTTCATTGAGTTAGACAAGGCTGTGGTCCATGTGATCAGATTGGTTAGTTTTCTGTAATTGTGGTTTTCATTCTGTCTGCCCTCTAATGGAGAAAGATAAGAGGCTTATGGAAGCTTCCTGATGGGAGGGAGGGACTGAAGGGGAAACTGGCTCTTGTTCTTATGGGCAGGGCCATGCTCAGTAAAGCTTTAATCCAATTTTCTATTGATGTGTGTGGCTGTGTTCCTCCCCTGTTGTTTGACCTGAGGCCAGACTATGGTGGAGGTAGTGAAGATAATGGCGACCTCCTTCCAAAGGTCCCATGCACACACTGCTACACTCATTATTAAGAAGAGGTGGTAAGAATACACAGAAGAACTCTACAAAAAAGATCTTCATGACCCAGATAACCATGATGGTATGATCACTCACCTAGAGCCAGACATCCTGGAATGCAAAGTCAAGTGGGCCTTATGAAACATCACTATGAACAAAGCTAGTGGAGGTGATGGAATGCCAGTTGAGCTATTTCACATCCTAAAAGATGAGTCTGTGAAACTGCTGCACTCAATGTGTCAGCAAATTTGGAAAACTCAGCAGTGGCCACAGGACTGGAAAAGGTCAATTTTCGTTCCATTCCCAAAGAAAGGCAATGCCAAAGAATGCTCAAACTACTGCACAATTGCACTCATCTCACACCACAGCAAAGTAATGCTCAAAATTCTCCAAGTCAGACTTCAACAGTACGTGAACTGTGAACTTCCAGATGTTCAAGCTGGATTTAGAAAAGGTAGAAGAACCAGAGATCAAATTGCCAACATCCACTGGATCACTGAAAAAGCAAGAGAATTCCAGAAAAAACATCTACTTCTGCTTTATTGACTATGCCAAATACTTTGACTCTGTGGATCACGACAAACTGGAAAATTCTGAAAGAAATGGGAATACCAGACCACCTGACCTGCCTCTTGAGAAATCTGTATGCAGGTCAGGAAGTAACAGTTAGAACTGGATATGGAACAACAGACTGGTTCCAAATTGGGAAAGAAATGCATCAAGGCTGCATATTGTCACTCTACTTATTTAACTTATATGCAGAGTACATCATGAGAAATGCCAGGCTGGATGAAGCACAAAGTGGGATCAAGACTGCTGGGAGAAATACCAATAACCTCAGATAAGCAGATGACACCACCCTTATGGCAGAAAGTGAAGAAGAACTAAAGGGCCTCTTGATGAAAGTGAAAGAGCAGAGTGAAAAAGTTGGCTTAAAACTCAACATTCAGAAAATTAAGGTCATGACATCTTTTCCCATCACTTCATGGCAAATAGATGGGGAAACAATGGAAACAGTGAGAGACTTAATTTTCTTGTGCTCCAAAATCACTGTAGATGGTGATTACAGCCATGAACTTAAAAGACGCTTGCTCCTTGGAAGAAAAACTGTGACCAACCTAGACAGCATATTAAAAAGCAGAGACATTACTTTGCCAACAAAGGTCAACAAAGTCAAAGCTATTGTTTCTTCCAGTGGTCATGTATGGATGTGAGAGTTGGACTGTGAAGAAAGCTGAGCGCCAAAGAATTGATGCTTTTGAACTGTGGTGTTGGAGAAGACTCTTGAGAGTCCCTTGGACTGCAAGGAGATCCAGTCTATCCTAAAGGAAATCAGTCCTGAATATTCATCGGAAGGACTGATGCTAAAGCTGAAACGCCAATACTTTGGCCACCTGATGTGAAAAACTGACTCACTAGAAAAGATCCCGATGCTGGGAAAGATTGAGGGCAGGAGCAGAAGGGGACGACAGAGGATGAGATGGTTGGATGGCATCACTGACTTGATGGACAAGTGTTTGAGTAAGCTCCAGGAGTTGGTGATGGACAGGGAAGCCTCGCAAGCTGCAGTCCAGTGGTTCGCCAAGAGTCGGGCATGACTGAGTGACTGAATTTACTGAACTGGGGACATTTCTTATTTGTGTCATTATACAGCTCTTCTGTCAAGACAGCAAGATGAAAATTTAATATTGTTCTTCATCAGAGTGGTTTTCAAACTACTACCTAATTATTACATAGACTAGAAGAAACTCTTTTTTCATCTGAAGTAATAAGTCAGAATAAGATAGAACAGACATTGAATAGTGTAATCCTTACACTGCTATTTTGTCAACCCACTATTTCTCAATTACATATTAATCCAAAAATCAATGACTCTCAAGTCATAATTTTTTTTCCCTTTAGGTTGAAAAGCAGTATTTTACTGAGGTACAAAATACTTTGAATTTTATTTTCTAAAACTAAAACTTTTAAAGAAAAATATTAGGTACACCTTTATTTGGATCAAAACATATCAAAGTATCAAAAGTACCAAAACATTCAAAAGTTTTATTTTTTCCTCATTTCCTTTCATTATGAGTGACAGAATACTATATAAAAACTATCAAAATAGTCAGAAGTACCAGAATGTTTCATTGAAAAAAAGAATTTTTAAGAACTTAGGGGAAATGAGGGGGGAAAAAAAGTTTTTCTCAATCCTGTAGAAAGGGAAATGAAGCCCATAGTTTACTAGTACAGTAAAAGTAAGTTTTCCTTAATTTTTAAATATTTTTTCTTTCCGAGTGAAATTTATACCTTATCCACAAAATGTATAAAGAATACTTTGGGAATATTCTTCAACTGCTTATTTCCCAAATTATCTGCAAAAATCTTAATATTGAATATGTGTGTGGGGGGGTATTTATACATTAATTTCAAAAACATTATACTAATTTGTTCTAATACATTAATTAATAACCAATTTAAGATTTCTTGTGTAATAGTAAAACAGTAATACCTCAGCACCAGGCCTTCATGTCCTTTCTCAGTCACTATCCTCACTCCAACGGTAACTAATATTCTGACTGTTCTCACCACAGATTAGATTTGCCTGATTTCTTAGCTTTTTATAAATGAAATCATGCACCGTGTATTTTTGTGTTTGTGTCTTTCATTCAATACAATGTTCACCCATGCTATGGTTATTTTCATTGCCATTTAATATTCCATTGTATGATCATGCCATGATGGATCCACTCTACTGTTGATGGAAATGTGGGTTCTACTGTGGGTTAAGAATAGTGCTGCTTTGAACACTCTTCTTTATGTATTTTGGTGTATATTGTGAATATATCTATAGCTGTTGAGTAGCAAATGATAGAATTGATGTTATATACATACATTTAATGTTAGCAGATATTGCTAAATAAATACGCACTCTCACAATTTAAAACCCCCGGTGCTACAGGCTTACCTCTCAACGCATTTCTCTTTTTCTCAAGATCATGACCTCTCAAGGCTTGGGTGTCTTAGTTGCTTTCTGCTGCCTTCAAACATCAGTTTATTGATTGACCTAGTTTTTCTACTTGTTCATGGTTGAAGATTGGTCTGATTGAATGTATTCCATTTATAGTCAGAAGTAGAAATTCCTCAGATTAGTTTGTATTGTTTTTGTCTCTGCCAATCCATGGTGATGGTTAAGTATTTGCATATGAATCTGGAAGGCATAGCTACTTCACATACTTCTACTTAACTCCTATTGTGGCTTGAACAATCTTATTTCAAAACAAAGGCCTTAAGATTCTCTTGGATTTGGTTTAATGAGAAACATGTGAGGAAAGACTCAAAATTTGCCCACTTTTCAGAATCGCTTTACTATATCTTGCTCCAGCCCAGGCAGAATGAATTCCTTCAGGAAGTAGGATGTTTACTGTCTCAGAATTCTAGCTCTTTCTTTCCCCGTGTCTTCCTCAAAGCAAAGGACTTCATTAATAATCTTTACTATCTAAGGACATTTTATACTATGTATATTCACTGGGTTTCCCGGGGTCAGTCCTAAAGTATATGCATTCCTCTGTGTTCATTAACTTTTCCTACTGAGGTGTTAGACCTCAGAAAATAGGATGTAAGTTGGTGGTATTATATTTTGATTACATTTAATCAGTTACTGTAGTTCTGTCTACTGATTATACCACACTGTACTTCAAAAGTTGGGTAGGTATGTATTGTTGGCAGTAACAGTTCTGTAATTATTTTTACTAATGGCACAACAGTTCAACGAAAATGTCGAGTTCTTTTTATGCTAAACAAATTTGTAAATAGAAAGCATTCTTTTCTAGAGCTGGGTCTATGTTTTGTTAGTCTATGACATATATAGTTACCATATTTCTATAAATATATGTCAACCAAAAATTCCACTGACACACCTATAGCTGTTAATGAATAATAAATATAAAATAATCCATTTATTTACAGGCTGAAGGTAAATAAGATACTACTCCCAAATCCTCTTCTTCAGAACATCATAGTTTTTTTTTTATTTCATTTTGTAAATTAGATCCCATTCCATAAATCTGTTTTGAAGCAAAACTTATGCTCTGACTTTAAAGCTTTGTAAGGATCCTCTTGACCTAAACAATAAATGGCTAGAGATCAGTGTTGACGGTTTCCTAGCAACAAATTAAATGCTTGTAGATCCTTGATATGCACATGGCCTCTTTACTTCAGAAAGCTGTTTATTAAGGTCAAGGTCAATAAATACTTCAGATAACAACAGAGACCCCTAGTCACAGTCAAGAGTTATTCCTGTAAATGTCATCAGATCAGTCACAGGAAATGGGTTATTTTTATGATCTCACTCACAGCTACATCACACATGGAGTTGCCTGTGTATAATCATGGTGAATCATGGCAGTTTTTCTCAGAGTTATGCTTACAATTGCCAAGTACTAATATAATATTTGATGTAGTGCCAAAAACATCTATATCTGAAGCATTCCGTGGTGAAACCAAGCATAATAAAATCTAATTGGAAAAAAGCACTTCAAAAAGAAAACCAGAAAGGCATATCCCATGGTAAAATCTATTTGTGTGCTAAAACATCTTTTGTTAGGTTAAGCACAGACTTCCTTTTGGGGTCTTTCTTGGCCAATTAATCCCCAAGTTTCAATTAAACTAAACTGCGTGGTATAAAGATAGCTTGCAATTTCCTGGGTCCCCAAAACAAAGTGAAATCAAACAACTCAATTTTGATAATGGAAAAACACTTTCTTGCTCCTAAGCAATGAGTCAAATCAAGTGTTACAAGAAATCCATTGTGTCTCTCTAGTCTCCAATGAACCATTTATGGAAAAATATTTTTAATCAATCACCTTCACAGGCATTCAGACCCATTCTACTATAACTAATGTACTGTCCAAGAACTGCCAAAGGTAAAAGTAATTTCTGACAATGCTTATCACAAATGAAAACTACAGAAGTCTAACATCTTAAAGAATAAAACAGTGTTAAACTTTAATATGGGGAAGATGGGTAACATGTAATACATACTGTTTTCATATCTAAAGTAAACCCTAAAGGCAGTGAAAATAACAACAAACTCATGCCTAACTTTGAACAATTAATTACAAATACTTACTGGATTCAATGAAATACTTCTAAATATAAACTCCCAGGAAATAGCAAACAAATAATAACTTATAAGGAGTTCATTTTGCTTATACTTAAAATTTTTTTCAGAAACTTTGAGCCTTTTCTCCATTAAAAACAGACATAAAAGGACATGATTCCCCCCACCCCAAAAGTCCTATAGATAACTTATATGTTACATCAAGTCATTAAAATTTCCCTCAACAACAACAATAATAAAAATAAAGTGGTCTCTAACAAGTGTAAGACCTAACATGTCGTTCTTTTTAAACAGTTCTTTCCTCTGTATACTAAGGTATATCTCAGTGTTTAAAGGTCAATTACTAAATACAGTACTTTTCCAATAAGTCTGTTGCAGGGGGTGTCTTTTCTTATAATTCAAATCAAATATTTTCATACAAATATTAGTTGCAGCAGCCAGTAATCTTTCTAAAACCATTTCTAGTTAAAATTATTAGTGAATTAGCCTCATAGGGGAGAAATCCCTCTGTAACTTCTATATTAAAATTCCTATATAATTTCTATGTCTTACAGAAAAAAATCTCTGGGCACTGAAATAAAATCAAATGATACAGGTCAAAGATGAACCGCTATAAATAAATTATATACCATGTTTCTCTGAATCATAATAAGAAGGGTCTATTAAAAGTTTGACAAAAATATCTATGTGGCATCTGTAGGATAAACAATGTATAATTAATAGGTTTAGAGGAACAGACCTCAATTCAGAAAATCAAGAATATGCCCCCAATGGAATATCTTATATAGTGATGATAACCCTTTCTGAGTTTTAATCAGAAAAGTAATGAAAAAGAAATAATGATGATACTTCTAGTCGAATATTTATGTTTTTTAATGACAATCGTAATGCATACAACATTTTAGGTTCATAAAAATGAAAATTAAAAATGCCCCCCCCAAAGAAAGACTTATGATTTGATATGAAAGAAAGACATAGTACCTTTTATTTCATGTTGGCTTGCTTCTCGTCTTCTTTCTAGTTCTTTTCTGTCATAATTCAACCTTTTTAAGCACATTATTCCATATTGTAAACTTGTTCTGTTATTTTTTTTAAAAAAAGGAGAAAACACAGTGAGTTTACTCAGTAGGTGATTAAGCATAGTCAACACTATGCCTTACTTCTTTGACAATATGTTAATAAGTTATATCTGTAATTAAATTCTTTAGGATTATAGGGAAATAAAATTATAGTTATTCTAAGCACTCAGTGTTTCTAAAGAGTAAAGAAAGTATTTTTGAAATAAATTAAGCATAGTTTTAAAATAATCTTGGATTTTGTTGTTCATCCACATTTTTGTTTTCTGTTATTTTAGCCTTGTTTGAAGACAAATGAACATCTTACTCACTTGAAAATAACTTAAAGAGAGTCACTATTATTGAGTCAAGAAGGGATTTATAGGAAATGGTTACCCTCCTTTTCATGATGAGAAAAATAATATAAAAATATGAGTAAGTTAATTATTAACATATAGAAGCAAATAACAAATGGCCACCAACTCTTAAGTAATAGAGAAGTATGTGAAAGGAAAAAGTCAACAAACAATGGAACTCCCTATGGAGAAGATATTGTGGATGAACAGAAAACCGACTGATCCTTACAGATCAAGCAGAGAAAGATGACGGGGCACCGTGAACACAGGATTGCTGATGAAATGTTAAATATGTGGTGATAGTGAGACCCACTGTCCAGAGTTTAGAATCCATGTCAGGAAATAAGGAGGAATGTGATTTCACACGGAGAATGGGGTTACATTAAGAAAAACATGCATTCAGAATAATGCGGGACACGTCAAGGTGATAGAAAATTACTGGACAATTTTCAAAGAAGAAAAACATTAAAGGTTTTGATTTAAGAAAGAATGAATCTGATAGCAAAACAGGAATTGGGAAAAAGAGGTAATTCTAGGTAACAGGGAAATAAGTGTGAGGAATGAATGCTGTCAAAACTATGGTCACAATAGAGACAATGAAAAGCATGAAAAGAAAATCCAAAACCCAGAGATGCTTGAAGAGAAGAAAGACTCGGTGACACTATATATAAAGGTTATGGAAGAGTATAGTAGGTAGAAAGAATCTCTAGGCCTCAAGAATGAAGAGCATTGATTTTTAGTGATTTCTTAAATGTTTAGAATTATAGACAAAGACACTGGAGAAGGAAATGGCAACCCACTCCAGTCTTCTTGCCTGGGAAATCCCATGGACAGAGGAGCCTGGTGAGCAAACAGTTGGGGTCGCAACTGTTGGACATGACTTAGTGGCTTTCACTTCACTTCACTTAGACACAACACACTGGCCAGGCTACTCTTACATGCTGGATGCACTTCTAAGCCCTGCATTTTTAGTGACACAATGCTGAGTTCAAACAGTTCAGAATCAGAGGAAAATGAGAAAAAAAAAAACTACATTAATTGCTACTGTTGGATGAATTGTGTTCCCCCAAATTCTTGTGTTGAAGCCCTAACCCACCCTACTTCCGAATGTGACTGTAATTGGAGACCGGGTCTTAAGAGAGGTAATTAAGATAAAATAAGGACATCAGGGTAGACCTTAATCCAGTATGACCAGTGTCCTTACAGAGGAGAAAATTTAGAACACAGAAAACTGGGAAGTATTCATGCACAGCAAAGACCACGCGTGTGGATACACTGAGAAAGCAGCTGTCTGCAAGTCAAGGTGAAGAAACCAACAATGCTGACACTTTGTTTCCTAGATTCCAGAACTTTAAGAAAGTGAATTTCTGTTGTTTAAGCCACCAGTCTGTGGCATTTTGTTATGTTAGCCCAATTAAACTAATTCAGTGGATACCAGATAATACTGAAATGAAAACCATCATAGACATTAGCCAGCTTGAGATTAAACCAGTGGCTCTTTGTCTAATTTCTGCCAGACTTTTATATGTAATGTAAAATTGTGCTATAAAGGGGATATATATATATTGTTACAACAATGTCGGTCAGGTGGAAAACAGCTATAAAGACAGCAGGTTGTCATGTGCAGTCAAGTACTACCTGCTTTAGGTCAGAGCTCAGAACAAACAGAACTCTGCCATTTGAGTAATTTTGATTCCTTTAAAATATTTTTTAATACCCAAAACATTTTTTATTGGGCTGTGGCCAGTTAACAATGTTGATTTTTTTTTTTAAAAACCTGATCACTGGGTTAACCATTTCTCTTATAATAATAATAACTAAAACTGGTCTACTGAAGAATACAAAACAGGCCCAAGGGTGTCATCAGAAATTCTGGTATTCAAAAATCTATTGCAACCACACAAAATTCAAGGGCTTAAACATTCAATGACAGAGAACTCACTACCTCACAGTGTGTGCTATATAGCAATAGCGATATAAAGTTTTGCTATTGGACATAAATCACCCACTCTATAATCTACACCTATTTGAAATAGGAAAGCATATATTCAAGAGAGCAAATATTCTTCTTCTATCACATATGTTAAAACATAAGTAAATTTTTCTGAATTCTTCCCTGTCCAATCTAAATTTAATTCCTTCCTTTCCCCTAGACTTCTACCACTCTATCACAGTTTAATATCCATAAATGAATACAGTTTCTTGTCGTCATCTCACCACAGAGGAGGACTTTTATTGTGCCTGCCAATAAACACAGTACTGATATGCCCTGTCAAGCCATTAACCAGAACTGAGACTTTTGTGTCAACTATAAATAACATTTTTTTTTCAATTGAACTGCTTTTAAATAATGAATTCCCAATCAAGCATTTTAATGGTTTTTAAAAATGGTATTATATTTATCTCTACTAAATTTAATCCAATAGTGTCAACAACTGTTAAAATTCAAAAGATTTTGATAAATTTGACTGAAGAATCTCAATTATTATCTTTTTATCCTAACTTTATGTCATTAACATGTGATTTTTATATCATTTTAATTTTCAGTCATTAATTAAATGTTGGACAGGATGTGAGCAAATAGTTTGCCAAATTATATAGATTTATATTTATTTACTATAATTAACTATATATAAAATGATAATAATACAACTGACAGTTTTGTAGATGACTTACAAAGAGATCAGGCTATAACATATCATTTATGACATGGTATTATAAGAAGTGTTTTTTTACCCCTGGATAATAAACAACTTGAAAAAAAATTTTCACATTTTTAATCACAGCAATTTACTTCTCTGTGTTCTTACCACTGTCTTATGTATTATTCACTGTTCTTTTCCTGAAAATCAATGCACAAATAAGCAAAAGCACTGAAAGATTTATATAAAAACAAAAATGTTTTTCAGAGAATTCCTTCTCAAATTTTTTTCTAGCATATCCCTAAGTTACTTAATTTATAACTACATATATCTATAGTTGAAACTGATGAATTTATTCTTAATAAATATTTTTCTACAATGAATACATAGATTCAAATTGCAAACATGAAATTTCCTAAAGATACAGGGGGAGGAAAGATCCACACTGTATGAGAATTTTGTACTGTCTAATTCTGTAAACTTTGGGCATGTAATATACATCCAGCTCTTCATGAAGATATTTTTGCCAAACAGATGTACACAGATGTTTCAAAGAGCACATACTCCATATTTCTTAAATATCTCTATATGTTCTAGCAATATATACATTAATTACTCTTTCACTTAAATTATCTCAGAAAAAACCTAAAACCTACCGATGGAAACTATCCACCATTTTTAAATGGACGCGGAGATCTTTTTTTGTTAGGTGATCAAGCATTCTTGCATCTACCAAGCATTCCATAAAATAACTTCTGTACTGAGGTAATCCCAAGCTGGGAAGCCATTCGTTTCCAATCCACTCATGGTTCATATCTCCATATGCCAGGGTCTGTAGAAAAACCGGACACTAGAATTGTTTTATAGCAGTCAAGTTTCTTAACCAATAAAATGAGATGGTAATTGGAGGATATGGACCATCATTTTAATTGATATTTAATTCCTTTATATATTGAAATGAAGCAGAAATAATATTTAGCCTCTAAATTTGATTTATTTTGTACAAAGTGGAAGTCTGGGTCCTTGTCTACAAGGTCCTTGCCTAGAGTGAATCATGACGCTCACTTTTGTTTTCTCAGAAGGAATTACATTTTATACAAAATACATTTTAAATTCAAAAGTTAAAAATGAATGATCTAAACAAAGGCTGAGCTGAAAGATTCTTACTTTGTATAGTTAGATTTATTTAATCCAACTTATTTTATCTTTATCTGTCAGCCAGTACGCCACCATTTCCTTCTCTTCAATGCTACTCTTACATTGCGGTGGTGTAATGGCAAATCTTGACGTGAAAACAGAAACTCCAGTAAATGAAGAGAGAAAGGAGCCCGAAGGCTAGAGGGCAGAATGCTGAAGCTTTATGTGGCCTCTGTTGTTACCTAGTGAAGCATGCAACCAGGACTCTATAAAAATTGATGCAATCTTTTATAGATATCAGTCAATACTGACTTTGTGTTTAAAGAATCAGAGCATGACCAAAAAGTAAAATATAATCTAACTCTTTAATATAACAATATAAACTGATCTTACCAAACACGGTTCGTAAAAGTCAAAAATAAAACCCAAATCGCCATTAAAGCAATTTTTAAAAAGAATTATTACTCTCTATTAATTTGACAATATTTTCCATTCAGATCCTTATCAAAGTACCAATTAGAACACGTGTTTCTAATTAAAATTGAAGCGTTCCTCTTATTTTGTGTGTTCTTAAAAAATGAAGTGCTTACCAAAACAAAAACCTAATGCAGCCCTAAGTTACTAAATGTAGGTCCTAGTAGTATCTGGGCTTCCCTGGTGGCTCAGTGGTAAAGAATGGGCTTTCAATGCAAGAGACACAGGAGACGCGGGTTCAATTCCTGGATCAGGCAGATGCCCTGGAGAAGGAAATGGCAACCTATTCCAATATTCTTGCCTGGGAAATCCCATGGACAGAGGAGCCTGGCCAGCTACAGTCCATGAAGGTACAAAAAGTTGGACATGACTGAGCGACTAAACAGCTACCGAACTACCGAAATTTTTCATACAAAGTTTGAATCACATTACCTGTAACACATTAATTCTTTTAGTTTAGAAGTATAATGCAGAAATGTTGAAAAAGGAACAGCTTCCCTACAAACATATCTGTATGTTCAAATTACAGATGTTTGGCTCATAATGCCATCTCAATAAATGGGAGTGACTTCTGACGTGCAGTTGCAAAGCTAACCCATGTCCCTCCAACTCCCATTTCTCACACACTTTCCATTATACTATAAAGCTTATGTGTGCTCATTCAGTCGTGTCCTACTGTGTGTGACCCCATGGACCACAGCCTTCCAGGCTCCTCTTCCATGGGGTTTCTCAAGAATACTGGGGTGGGGTGGGGTGCCATTTCCTCCTCCAGGGGATCTCCCTGGCCCAGGGGTTGAACCCATGTCCCTTGCATCTCCTGCATTGGCAGGTGGATTCTTTACCACTAGTGCCACCTAAAGAATAGGTGATTCCAAACAAATTTTTTGAAATCTCTCCTCTTCCCCTTACATCCAACATAAATGATTCCTGATTAAATATATATTCAGAGGGCAATTTCCAAGAAGTTTACATTGTAGTTCTTTTAAACGAGAAAGGAAATTTTCCTTTCAAAAGAAGCCAGGTGTAAAATGACAGTCATCTTCTTGATTGCAAAATATGGTGATTTAAAAAGACCTATATAGTATTAAACATAATAAACTTGAATACACAGTTAAGCTAATCTTAAACTAAGTGAAGATTTAAAATATTATGACATACAGTTTTCTTACTTTATATATTCATAGCCTACTAAATGATACTGTTTTAAAGCATATGAATTTCCTACCTGTGCCCAGCTTCCTTCCTCAGATTCTTTCTGTGTTAGCAGCAGGAAATGATTAATAAAGCAGATAAATATAAATTAATCTCAAATTAATACAGTTAATTTTTTCCTAGTAGAAGCAAAATTGTTTTGCTATTAAAATGTTAATTAGGACACAGGAAGATAAATACACAGATCCTTATTCAGATCCACAGTAATCAACTGAGGCGTTCAAGGGTGACTACAAGGGCACCTATGTAATTTCTAATTTAGGCTAATTAAATACACACATGTGATATATGGAGTTTTCATGACACATTTGATCTGGTCACTCCAAACCTTTTTAACTCTTAAAACTGTGGGATTTTTCATAATAAGTTATAATAAAAAAATTTTGATTATATACCTACAAATATACAATGCACAAATGTGTATACATACATACGATGGAGAAATCCTGTACAAAGTAAATTAATGGAGTGGACAAAGGAACTGCATCCCTCCAGCTAAGCTTTGCGGTAATGAAATGGGTCTCAACAACAAGCAGCAACAAATAAAACTCAATAAGAAAAGACCAAGTGCAACAAACTAGAGTAAAAATGTAATTAGTAAACAACACTGGCATTTTTATTCATCGTAAGCTAAATAATCAATTTCAAACATGAATCAAATGAAAAGGACACTAAATTAAAATAAGTTGCTCATAATAAAATGCATGGCATGCCCAACTTTGCTACTTTAAATGAGAAATTACTGTAGATAATATTGTATTTTTAAAAGCTGACAATTATGAGTCACCACGGATTTCTTTAAGCATGTACTTTTAATACCAAATGGACACTTTTCATGGGGGTAATGAGAAGGAAGCTCTGTATCTGAGATGGGAAAGTACAAGAAGCTAAATGATTGCATTTAAAAAGGATATTCAATCTATACATTCTATTACAAATTTAATTGGGTTTGGTAACATGCATTACCTGGGAATATGCTGACTTTTAAGTGATATTTGCTATCAAACATTTCCAATGTTGTGGAATAGATAAATATTATTAAATCCTTGATTACTTGTTTGCATGTTACAAACTCTTATATTAACCACATTATGATAATCTAGTATGGCTTTATTTAAAAATGCCTAAATGCAGTGAAATTAGACCATAATCATTGCATATCACTGTGTAAACATACCCATTACTCTGATTCTACGGTAAACAAAATAGCTTTTCCATGCAAATAGCAGCAAAATAATGTTTTTGTATGTTCAACAAAGCTGTAAAGACTAACCGTTTTTGCTGGAGCTGCAAGATTTTCCATTTCTTCATGGGTCACCCAAACGTTGCCTGAAGGCTAGCGAGGAGGCCCAGAGGGGAGCGGGGGGATCCACGGGAGGAAGCAGTGGTAAAGAAGAAAGGCAGCGCCTCTGTAAGTTAATGGAACCACAGTAACACCACCACGCTCTTGCTCCTATAGCGTGTGCAAGAGACAGCATTGCTGGCTGCTCACAGCTCCCTTTTGCTTCTACTTTAAAAGATTAAATAGAAAGAGGCATGCTGTGAAGGTCACGTGGGACAGATTTAACATGACACTTCTGTAATTATTAATCAGGAAAAAGGCTTAATCAAAATTTGCATTGCAAAGGTATGTGGCTATTGGATCCATCTTTTTGTAATCATGGAGAACGGAATAAATTGGATCTGTAGAAGAATATTTTTTCTTCAGTAAACAAAGGCACATGTGTTTTGTCATGTTATTACCAATATTTCCTTCACAAAGTTTTGATTCTTCAATGTCCTTGGAAAGAGAAAATTGGTTGTCAATACAAAGCTGAAAGTATTATCATAACCTGTCTGGAAATCAATATCAGTTTTTCCCAAATGACCTCTTCCTTTTACAGTTCAGTGAATATGTTGTTTTCCTACATTCTTATAGAGAAAAAAAGAAAAGAAATGCTATTTTGGATGTAATAAAAGGTTTTTTTTTTTTTAGTAAATATTGTCAGAAGTCACAAAACTTGGGTTACCTGATTTTTCAGCAGTATCCTACACCATTATAGAGAAGAATTGTAAAAGAGAATTTTCCCTCTAACAGGCACTATTCTATTATGAAGTCTCATTTTCCTTTTAATAAAAACAACCCATGATATTTGTTTTATACACCGACTTAACATACAATTTCTAAACCAAAGTCCATTTAGTAACATACAGATCACTGGGAACCACTTCCCATCAAATACCATTTCACTGGGATATCTTTATGAACATTTCAGTATTGTCCAAGTACATCAATTCCACAGTTACAGTGAAATTTATATCCTAAGGATTATTTATTACTTATTTTGGAAGGGATCTTGTTTTAAAGACTTGGAAGTAGCAAAATTGATACCCCAATATACATCATTACCATAATTTTCTCTGGCCTTTTCTACCAACACAGTACCATGTTAACTTAGCTTCTATTATAAATAATGGAATTTAATATAATTTTAAAAATAACTGCATATAAACTAAATTGATGAGTATAATTCAACATATGGTAAATCTCATGGAGAAGAGAATTTCTCATGGTTGAGCAATGAAACAGTAAATATTCATTATTATAAGTAAATCATATAGGCATAAAGATCTCAAAGGATAAGTATCATTTATACATATAGAATTCTCATTTTCCTACCATTTTGGAGTTTTGAGTATAAATGAATTTTTTCTTAAAAGATAAAACTACACAACTGTAAAATATAATACAGGAGCCATCCATGTCATTAAAAGCCCCTCCCTCTATCCCCAGCTTCTAAAAATGGTGCTCATTATAAACAGAAAGTTGCATGTGAATGTGATTATTAAATCACTTGGCGGAAGCTGCTTTCACTGACATTTTGAGGAGTGTACTCTGCGAAGAAGAGTTTTACACTCATCTGTCACGTTCCCCTTAAACTCAGTGATGACACCGCTTGGCCTGAGTGTACTGTCTCTTCATCACGAGCTTCACTGATGGTTACTCGAGAGGAAATTCATTTAAGCCAGATTGTTTTACAATGATGCCTACAGATTCCACCTTGTTTGTGAATCCAAGAAATGAAGATCTCCCTCCTTCTGTAAGAAACCTGACCGGTATTATTCCATACTGAAATGTAGACATGTACAATCTCTTTCCTTGTGGCTGAGCTAGTCAAGAATCCACCTGCCATACAGGAGACCTGAGTTCGATCCCTGAGTTGGGAAAATCCCCTGGAGAAGGGAACGGCTACCCACTCCAGATTCTGGCCTGGAGAGTTCCATGGAAATAGTCCATGGGGTCACAGAGTTGGACATGACTGAGTGACTTTCACTTCACTTCACATAATCTCTTTCGCAGGTTATTTAAAGTCTATATCTGCCAGTCTATCACCTTATTCTGGAGTGAGTAGGATTCAAGGCTATGACTTAATCTGTACCTTTGCATGCAAAATGAGTATATATCCAGGACAGTTTTCTAAAGTATGGTTGGCAAACTTCCCGAAGTTGTAAGCTGGTCATTCACTTGTGCTCTGCAGTTTTACTTGGCAGGAGCACTGCCTGCTCTAGAGTCTTGAAAAGTAACCCATAAAATGACTCCTATGCAACCCAACCACTTAGGCATTAGTTGAGGTTTTCAACAAGTTTATTTTATAAGCAAGCCCATGGGTAATAAGTCAATTATTAAGATTTGTTTCTTTTTATCACCAGTTTCAAGGATGGAACTTTTGTCTGGGTAAGTCATAAAAAGGGTGCTTTAGAGCACGAGCGTTTCAGCAAAGAGCACATCGTAGAGAATAGCTAGAGTTGGGATGCTTCGAGCAAGCAGACGACATAAGACACTGGTGCCATGAGTCCAAGGATAAAGACTGCAAAAAGTGGCCTGGAAAAGCATAAGGACAAGCTTTTGGCTCGTGGCTTTCTGAGAGCCACTGAAAATCATTTACTCACTGCCCTTGGTAGTCCATGCTGCAGCCCCCCAATAAATGAACTGGAGAATGCAAACCAGTAATTGATTTTTTTGTATGTGTATGGCAAATACCATTTGAGCCTAGAAAATGATTAAAATTTTAGTTATCTGGAAATTTACTAAATTATAATCAAGAGGTTTGACTTCTAGCAGTGCCACTTCTCAGTAACTAGGACATTTCCTAAGCTTCTCTAGATTCTACATCTGTTAAGTAGGCTAAAACTACATACTCATACTATAAAAGATGCTAATAATTTTAAATTATGATGCAATATATTCTGATCCAGGGCTGGGACTAGGATGAGGTAGGTGGGGTGTCAAGGGGGCTCCATTTAAGGAAGCACTCATTTTCAGGATCATGCAAATACAAGGTCCTCACTGACAGTGAGACCCCCATTCAGTTTCCTTGGAGGTGCCTTGCTAGCCTTACCTTAGCTCAGAGGCAGTAGAATATTCAGTTAGTATTATCAATTGACATCTAGAAGGGAAATTCCTAAAGGAGGTTAAGAATTAAAGCTCTTACCTAATTAAATCATTCAGGAGAGAGTTATGATATAAAAATAAATATTAAAATGAGTTTAAGGGATAACATGAACAGTAATTGGGGGGAAATAATTCTCTTGCTGTCAGAAATACAAAATAAATAAAGCAGCCAGACCTCAGAACAACCCTGAACCTTATCTAGCTGTACCTTCTGTAATGACTTACATCATTTTGAAGCATTTTTTACTTTATAATTGAACTTCAAAGTAAATTAATTTGAAATTTACTTTCCACATTTAAAATGGCCTATAGGCCTATATCCACATTTCTCCCTAATCTGACTTGATGTTTCTCTACCATAAAAGGAAAAATATTTCTCATATAATAAGAACACAACTGTATTTCACCTTATTTACTTAAAGGTTGAGGCTTAGGAGGTTAACAATTATGTAAAGGGGAACCAAAGTAGACTGAAAGAATGTTGTGAAAAAGAAGGAAAACTGGTAGAGTGCAGGAAGCAGGAAAGTACATTTGTCAGGAGCACAGACTATGGGGCAAAACCACCGGGCGTGCGACCTTAGGACAAGTCACTTAACGTCTCTGTTCCTCAATCCCTCCCATTTGTAAAACAGGTATCATGAAAGTACCGATCTCACAGCATTGTCCTCAGACTCAAATCAGTTGCTGCATGTAGAACACTTAGACCAGGGCCTGACACTTAGTTCTCCACTGATGTTGGCTGTTACTACAATTTTACTAGAAATCTCATTAAACAATCTCTACCCAAGTAAATCTTTAGTTTAATAAATGCTCTTTATTTCCCCTGTACATTGTGTTGAAGCTTATCTTATGCCCTCATGTCTGCTCAAAATTACTAAATTATATGTTTACCAAAGATCATTTGTTTTTGTTCCCAAACCTTTTTACTTTCACAGCACTTTTTTTTAAAATTAGTCAATTTAAGTAAATATTATATAGAGCCAAAAATTAAATAAACTTGATTCATGTCTGAACACTAAGCTGAATTATTTGGAAAGAATAGATAAGGGCAAATATTAAAACACATTATCACTGAGAAATACAACTTCAGCAAAGTCTAGGGAAGAAAAATTTCCAGGAGAATTCTGCATTCATATAGCTTTTTGAGTCTCTTAGTTATCACTTTAAAAAGAAACTCAAACTTAAAAAGTTGAAAATGTTTAAAGGATGAAGCTATCAAATAAACATGATGTGAAACTCCAGGCACTGGAATTATACTAAAAGAAAAATCCTAGGGTTTCATCTAAATTTGCAAGTGCCTAAATATTTACATAAGATGAATTTTTACTTAAGATGAAATATTTAAAGAATTTATGTATTCTTTATGATACACCCCTTAAACCAAATATTTCAATTATCAGATATCTCCATCTCTATTCTATTATATAGGAGGCCTTCTATAGTAACTATAGTAACAGCTTAGGAAAAAGAAACAGAAAGCTGGAAGATTAGGGCTGGCCCAGAGAAATAAAAAATGTAAATAATAATAATGAATGAAAACATTAGATTTTTCTATTAGTCCATCTCATCTAAACAGAAAGGAGGCAGAGTTCTGTTCAGTTTTTTGGTTTTTTTGTTTTTTAATCTAAGTATCTTGTTTTTTTATCTTAAGAATTTGAGTGAATGAACAAGGTACATCTTTCTCAGGAACCCAAACCTAAACACACGGAATATCTTGTATGATCAGAACTGTTGGCAGTGTTCTAGAAGACATGATAACATTTAAAAAAAAAAAAAAAGCCAACTCCTTTTGAAATTTCAAAGAGTGAATCCTAGTATATAATTTTAGGTGATGACTTTAAAATGTTTTCATCTTCACTTTATGTAGTGGATTAAAATCACATGTAATTTTTTTGCAAAGCAAATCATATTTGAAATATATTAAAAATAAGTAAATACTTTCATGTAGATAAAGAAATGTTTACAAAAAGCACTCAGTAGGTTATTTTTAAAGCAAATAGAGACAAATTCTCTCTTGTGCAACTTGTACTGATATTTAGCTAAAGGCATATGTCTTCTGTGAATAAAGAGCTTTTACACATTAGCAAAAAAAAAAAATGAAAATTCCTATAGTCTGATAGAAAAGTGAAAAAGCTATGAATAGGAAATTCGTTTAAATGCTAAAATAAATAAGTATATGAAAACGTTTTAACTTTCCTAGTAACTTCTAAAATGTAAACTTAAGCAATGCAGTCATTAACATTGACAAACAGGGAGAAAAGACTAGACAACAGAATCTGGCAACTAAGGTTCAAAAGTAATAAAGATATAAATGCCCTCTATACAAATATTGCTACGGAAATAACCACAGTCAATGTAATACTATAACTACAGTCATACTCACTATGGCACTGTATGTAAATACAGTGAAAACTGCTAAATAAGCAAGATGTCCCATAGTAGGGGGTTGGTTAAATAAATTAAAGGAGGTATGCAGCAATTAACAATGAGACTACATTACATATTTAATATTAATAAAATGGGGGAAATGTTCATGTTCTATTATTGGGCTTTAAAAGTACAAAATAATATGTAAAAATAATTTATTTTTATAAAATGAGAAAGAAAGTAGAATGTAAAGGTCTCTATCAAAAAGAATGAAAATATTAATGATTTTAATAATTAACAATATATTACCTGTCTTTCAAATGTTAATTTCTCTTTGAGCCATAATCAGAAGTGGCTTTTTCCTCCTTGGAATGCCAGAGCACTCTGCTTCTATCTCACATTAAGGAATAAAACTCTGTCATCTTCTGCTAAACCTGCTTGTGAACATGTCTTCATTTTCTTAGCATGGCTATCCTCTCTCTGTAATCAGGGCATACATATTTCATATCCTGTGTAGTGGTGGGTAGTATGACTTATAAAATCATTATATTAAGATGCATATTTATTGACTATTTACAATTTGCCAGGCACTGAGTTAAGGCCTGCTGCTTCTGCTGCTCCTAAGTCGCTCCAGTCGTGTCTGACTCAATGCGACCCCATAGACGGCAGCCCACCAGGCTCCCCCATCCCTGGGATTCTCCAGGCAGGAACACTGGAGTGGGTTGCCATTTCCTTCTCCAATGCAGAAAAGTGAAAAGTGAAAGTGAAGTTGCTCAGTTGTGTCCAACTCTTCACAACCCCATGGACTGCAGCCCACCAGGCTCCTCCGTCCATTGGATTTTCCAGGCAAGAGGACTGGAGTGGGCTGCCATTGCCTTCTCCGGAGTTAAGGCCTAGGAACTATGGAAAATCTGATAATATACTTTCTTGGCCTAGTGTGAGATGAATCAAGGAGAGAGAATTATGTAATAGCTTTTTGTAAGTATACAGAGCGATAACTTGGGAAGGGAAGCAAACGCAGACTTTGGAGTTTGGTGAAAACTTTTCAGAGGAAGGACATTCCGGGATCATCAGAGGGAGGAAGAATTGGAGGCCAGTGACCCTGGAGTGGGAAGAATGTGCCAGGCAGGAGAAGAACAACGGAAAAAGCTTATGATCAACCCAACTCATAAAAGTTTAGGAAACTGAAAGTAGTTCTGTGTTCCCGGGATCCCGATCTGAGGAAATAAAGCCTTTGAGGTGAACTGAGAATAGATGAAGGAGGGTCTCATAAGCTCTCTTCACATTTGACGGTTCTTTGAACAACTGAGTATGCCCTTACCTTTCCCAGCTTCTGATTTAAGTTCCTTCAGTTTGCCTAGACATTTTTAGAAAAATAGTGCTTAATTACTCAATTTTCCTTTAAGAAACAGGATGCTAAATATAAGTCAGTTACATTTTATTTTTCATCTTTAAGTTGGGACTTCCGTTGCTTTTACTTTTGCAAGATTAGGAATTTTAAATATTTTTGTTCAAATTTGCTCTTGGGAGGAGAATGTTAACAGAAACCAGTCATGATACTTCTCTCTCAGTTGGAAGTTACTCAGGAAACTCATCATCTGAATTCTGTTTATAGTAACTATTATAATGGCCTTCTCAGCTTTTATTTTAAATATATTCTGAATTACTTTTTTAGCTTCAGTAGTACTTCAGCATATAACATTTATATACATTTTAATATGCTATCAGTTCAGTTTTGTTACTCAGTCGTGTCTGATTCTTTGCGAGCCCATGAATCGCAGCACACCAGGCCTCCCTGTCCATCACCAGCTTCCGGAGTATACTCAAACTCATGTCCATTGAGTCGGTGATGCCATTCAGCCATCTCATCCTCTGCCGTCCCCTTCTCCTCCTGCCCCCAATCTTTCCCAGGATCAGGGTCTTTTCCAATGAGTCAACTTTTCGCATGGGGTGGCCAAAGTATTGGAATTTCAGCTTCAGCATCAGTCTTTCCAATGAACACCCAGGACCGATTTCCTTTAGGATGGACTGGTTGGATCTCCTTGCAGTCCAAGGGACTCTCAAGAGTCTTCTCCAACACCACAGTTCAAAAGCATCAATTCTTCAGTGCTCGGCTTTCTTTACAGTTCAACTCTCACATCCATACATGACTACTGGAAAAACCAAAGCCTTGACTAGACAGACCTTTGCTGGCAAAGTAATGTCTCTGCTTTTAAATATGCAGTCTAGGTTGGTCATAACTTTCCTTCCAAGGCACAAGCATCTTTTAATTTCATGGCTTCAGTCAACATCTGCAGTGATTTTGGAGCCCCCCCAAAATAAACTCTGTCACTATTTCCACTGTTCCCCCATCTATTTCCCATGAAGTGATGGGACCAGATGCCATGATCTTAGTTTTCTGAATGTTGAGTTTTTAGTCAACTTTTTCACTCTCCTCTTTCACTTTCAAGAAGTTATATATAAGAATTTGTTAAAGTATATATTTTCTCTAAATATATCTTAGGAAAAAGTTAAAATGGATATATGGATATCCATATATGGATATATGGATATAAGAAAGATAAACACTTTTAAATTTTGACTTTGTGTTTCTAGCACTGGAATCTAGTGCATTAGGAAGGAATATAAGAATATATGTAATAAAATGAAGCAAATTCTCCAATTTACTCTGATGTTTAGTTCAGTTCAGTTCAGTTCAGTCCCTCAGTCGTGTCTGACTCTTTGCAACCCCATGAATTGCAGCACACCAGGCCTCCCTGTCCATCACCAACTCCTGGAGTCCACCCGAACCCATGCCCATTGAGTCGGTGATGCCATCCAACCATCTCATCCTCCGTCATCCCCTTCTCCTCCTGCCCTCAATCTTTCCTAGCATCAGGGTCTTTTCAAATAAGTCAACTCTTCGCATGAGGTGGCCAAAGTATTGGAGTTTCAGCTTTAGCATCAGTCCTTCCAATGAACACCCAGGACTGATCTCCTTCAGGATGGACTGGTTGGATCTCCTTGCAGTCCAAGGTACACTCAAGAGTCTTCTCCAACACCACAGTTCAAAAGCATCATTTCTTCTGCGCTTAGCTTTCTTTACAGTCCAACTCTCAGATCCATACATTAAGACCATATAAAAAAAAGTTATACTGAAGTTAGCTGTGTGCCTGAAAATTGAAATAATTCCACTTTCCTATCTTTTGCCCAGTATTTGAACTTACCTCATTTTTCCTTTTTTTTTTTTTTGTATAAGACATGGAACCAGAAAAATCCAATTAACATCAGAAATCACATCCTTTATCAGAAAATGATATAATTTGGAGAAGGACTAAGGAAAGAATGAATGTTATTTGCAAGTTTTTCTCAATGTTTGAATTTGTCATCTGGTATTCCTTTTTAAAATATTTTGTTCTTTTCTAATATTAAGACAGGGACAAAATTATGAGAGAAATAGGGATTTATAAATAAAAAGCAAACAGGTTTTGGGGGCAGGTAATTCACACGGTATTTATAAAACATTAAATATTAAGGTACTTGCATTTATGAAAACCACTTAAGAGGTAGTGAGTTTAGCATTACATCTTCAAAAAGTAATGCTGCCTAGAGTTCACCTTGAGATGCTGGATTACATTAAAAAGGAAAAATCTCACAAAAGAATAAACTCTTGGTCTTGCTTGGGAGAAAAATCTAAACTTTAGAGGCTAGCTCGAAAGTCTATTTTGGTTGCAGCCTTCAAGTCTGATAGGACTCACAGCTCTTCAGTTGAAAACCTATTAAAAGTAGCAGCAAGGTTAATGAAGAGCAAGCTAGATCTGGGAATAATGCATGCTGACATTGACATGCTTGCTGCCACCGTTCTGCTCTGTGGGCTTGGGGAGGCTGCTGTCCGCCCAGCCCTGGGAGGGGGAGCAGTGCAAACGGACTCACAGTTCTGGACGTTGGAGGAGCTGAAGGACTGGTTAGGGAAACCATCTCCTGGATTGCTAATCGGAGCTTTAAGCGATGCAGAGGGTTGCTGATTCCAATTTCTCTCTGGATCTCAGTGTCCGATAAAGCAGACATAATGGCACCGCTCTTCACATTGGCTCTGCAGGCTGCCACGTACCAAGCAGGCATTCCCAACCAGAGCTGTTGGATTGGGGAAAAAAATGTACCCAGATTATAACCATAGTTAACCATTAACACTATGTGCTAGATCGTATTCTAATTACCTTACTTGTATGAACTCATTTATACCACAACCCCATGAAAGAGGTGCTATTATTATTTCCCCCAGAGCAGAAAGAGGCACAAAGACATTAACTAATTTATTCAAAGAACCAGTTAGGCAGTAACGGAAATAAAGATCGGAAAGGTAGCCTTCAGGGTATGCAATTTAACAACGAATTTATGAGGGATAAATATAATAGCTGCACCTCACCAAATCTCCTCTAGAGTTTAAGGACAAGAACAGCTACAAGCTGCATTTGGTAAAGGCTCAATTAACACATTTGTTTAATAAATGACTTCAATTTATAATTCTCCTTTGGAATTCTGAGTGCTTTTGATCAAAGGCTTTAATGTGGCTAAGCGACATTTCCAACCTACCTACCTATGCTATGTGCTAATTTGTATGTGCTCAATTAGATGCTAAATAGGGAAATACTTTTTGGAGAATGAAATGATGGGCTAATGGAAGAGGCTAACAGTATCAGCACCTGTAAAACATTAATTAAAGAGAGTTACAAAATGAATAATGCTCTAGAAATTACGGACTCTGATTTTTCAACTTTGCTGTGAGGCTTTGGAAAGACAGTTGAATTGGTAGTGCAGTGAACACAGCATGATGCCCAGCACGCATGTGAAGTCCAGCGTGGATGCACTGAGTTGGAGCATCAGAATTGCACACGGTTCGTAAGGAATATTCTTGCCATCCCTCTGACCGCTCCCTCGTCGTTAGCTATGAATAAGAAGTGGGGCACCTACTGGTCAGCTTAAATTTTTAAAAAGCTAAAATACTATTTTGGGGGGGTATTATATTTGTTGATATGAACAGACTGAGCAAAAGGAGAGAGCACTGAGAGTGAGCGCAAGTGAAGGAACAGGAGAAGAAAAACCATAAATCAGCAATATATATAACGCCAAGAGCCCTAGACTAAGAATCAGAGGGCTCGGGCCTTCCCTGTCACTGGTGAGTTGTAGAAGTCCTCTGTACCTCAGCCCTGTTGCCCTCATTTATAAAATGGAAGAGATTTGGCTTTATTATTCCTAAGGCTTTGTTTTAGGCAGCTTCTAAGATGGTTCCAAATAATCTCACTTCCTGATATTCCTGCACTTGTATCACCCACTTCCTCCAAGTTGGGGCTGGACCTGGAGACTTACTGTAATGAAAAGACTGTGATAAAAGTGACTGGCGCTGGTGGTGAAGAACCCACTTGCCAGTGCAAGGGATGCCAGAGAGCCAGGTTCGATCCCTGGGAAGATCCCTTAAAGGAGGGCATGGCACCCCTGCAGTACTCTTGCCTGGAGAATCCCGTGAACGGAGGAGCCTGGCAGGCTACAGTCCACAGGATTGCACAGAGTCAGACACGACTGAAGCAACTTAGCACACGTGCGAAAGTGATGGGATGTGACTTTCTAGGTTAGGTTATGAACAGACGGGCTTCATTCCAGCTGGTCCTCTCTGCCTCTCTCCTCTGAGCTCTTGCTCTGGGGGAAGCCAGCTGTCGGGCTGCGAGCACTCCTGTGAGATGCTCACGTGGAAGGGAACAGATGTCTCTGGCCAACAGCAGCAAGGAGCGGAGTCAGCTCAGAAGTGGATTTTCCTCCAAGTCAAGTCTTGACACGACTGGGGCCCTGGGCTGACACTCTGCCCGCAGTCTTGTGAGAGACTTTGGATAGAGGCCGTAGGTAAACCATGTCCAGATTCCTGACCCACAGAAGTCATGAGGAAAAGAAATACTACGTGTTGGGATAATTTGCTACGTGATGATAAATAACTAATACTGATTTTTTTTTTAATTTTAAAAATTCTTCTATGTTAAAGGGTTGCTTGCTTCTGTAGAGGAATTAAAAAGTGAAATCATTCATCCAACGTGGCCTGGGCTGTGATTGAGATAAGAGAAAGGAGACAGGTGAGGTGCATGACTAACAATAGCATCTCCTACATGTTAGGCACAGGAATTGACCTTGCCTTGACAGATATGATTATATACGAGAAAAGACTGGATTTGAATTCATAGTTTGTAAACTGAAGTTGTTCAAAATACCTAAACACCTAAATATACCTTCACTGGACCTGGATGATTTTCACTTCTTTTCACCTCCTCTAATCTAAGATATTTGGACTTCCATACTGGTTAACATTACCAATACATGGTTGCTAATACCTGGTTACCAAGGTCATTCCTGATTGTGCTGTGTGCTAAGTCGCTTCAGTCATGTCTGACTCTGTGACCCTATGGACTATAGCCTGCCGGGCTCTTCTGCCTATGATATTCTCCAGGCAAGAATACTGGAGTGGGTTGCCATGTCCTTCTCCAGGGGATCTTCCAGACCCGGGGATGAACCCACGACTCTTAACATTTCCTGCCCTGGCAGGCAGGTTCTTTACTGCTAGCTCTACCTGGAAAGCCCCCATCCCTGATTAGACTTTCACAAAGTTCTTGGTGTGTGAAGCATCAACTTATTTGTATCCATCCCTCAGTGGTCTGTGCACTCAAGGAGGTACTAAAGGAGGTGAAAGTTAAGAGCTCTCATTCATTGGATCACCCACCACACTCACTGTGTTTATTCCATTTTATAATTTCAGTCACTTTAGGGAGAAGACTAGAAGCAATTTTTGTGTGCTCAGGAAAGCTTTAATTAGCAGAAACGCCGCTGCCTGTCATTTTTAGGCCCTTAATGTCAGTAAATCTTGTTGTTGTTTTTTAAATAAAGGATCTGTTCATCACTTGCCAAAATAGCAGCTAACTCTGTGAAACCGTAGCTCATTTTACTGGAGAGAAACTGCACAATGAGTTGCTCTCAGTTTTGTGGTGGGCTTTCTTAAACATTTTGTCTTATTATTGATTTTTTTAAATATAGTAATTTTAAAGACATACTTGGAAGAACAGCTGTGATCACTAATAAGCTAAAAAATTTCCTGACTGATATGAAAGAATAAAATAAAGCAAGACACAGGCTTCTTTCACTCAGTCCCCCCCCAAAAAATGCAAAGCATGTTTTTATATTTATCTGTGCAAGATAATTTTTTAAACTGAAATGAGTTATGTTATCCCTCATTGATTAATTCATTAGCTCTGGATTTGATATAACAACGAAGGTGAACGATTTTATAATCCTGAACCTTTTAAAACAATGGGTTCTAATTGTCTCTGCCAAGCAACAAAAGTTCATACTGTCAGTCCCTTGGTGTTCTTGGGCTATTGGCTCCAGGATGTTGCAGACCAAAATCTGCAGATGCTAGAGTCCCTATGGGGCCTGACTATCCAGGGCTCATCCAGGGATTTGTATCAGATTGAACGTGTTTGGTTGAATCCATGGACAGGGAACCCATGGATATGGTGGACTGACTCTACTCCCCTTCATCTTGATATCAGCATATCCTAGCAGCTGCCAATAGCCCACATTAGAGAACTGAACAGAAGGGGCAGTGAAACTATTGAGAAGTGGTATGAAAGGGCCCTTTGTGGTCAAATATGTATTTTCTTCACCATCCTGGTCTGCTTCTGCTGATCAGGTATTGATTCATTTATCCAGGCCATTGTGTTGTGCAGGATATGCTAACTGTAGTTCTCATTTCATTAAAAACATTCAGTCTAGACACAAAAGGGAACAAGGGTTTGTGTATTCTGCAAAACTCCACAAATGTCTAAATCTAGCTGGCTCCTTCATGTTCAGGAATGTCCTACAAGCAAAGGAATGGCTGCAAATGTCTTGGATCACACAGAAGTGCTAAAAATACGGAGATGGCTCTTCTCTGTTAACCTGCTGATGAGGAAGGGCCCTGGGCTAATGTACTGGACAGATGCTTCCTAGCAACCACACATGAAAGTGTTAGTCGCTCAGTCGTGTCCGACTCTTTGCGACCCCATGGGCTGTAGCCCGCCAGGCTCCTCTGTCCATGAGATTCTCCAGGCAAGAATGCTGCAGGGGGTTGCCATTCCCTTCTCCAGGGCATCTTCCTGACCCAAGGTTCAAATCTGGGTCTCCTACATTGCAGGCAGATGCTTTACTCTCCAAGAAATGTTACTCAAGAATTGTTTCTTGACTTACTCTAGATATAAAGAGCACGGAATTTACTAAAACTTTCTTTCATCTCACTGCCTACTGCTCTGCCACAGTCACAAGAAAGCATCAGAGAAAAATCACAGCTATGACTGTGGGTCCCTAGATAAAGCAAACATTCTCTTTATAAGCTGTTCCAGACTACCAGAAAAATGAAGATGTCAGGAACCTGGCTTTACTTGTCTCTAAAAATTGGATTGGATTGAAAGTCTTCTGATTTAATTCTCTTACCTCTAGCCATGCGACTACAGTGGGCCCATCCCATTGGGCAAAAGGTAATCCCTTTCTCCGAGCTTCTTCTAGAAGTTCATGCCTGAAGTATACAGCAAGGATTGTTAGTCAGGTAATATGGGAAAAGATGGCTGTGATTATTTTTAATGACAATATTTTTTAAAAGCCCCATAATCCTTTATAAGCTTTTTATGAGTTAATACAGAATAACAGAATTCTTTCTTCCTTTGAATAATACATGCAAATCATCCATTGATTTTATTAGAAATGAAACACTGATATCTAAAAATAATTTTCCTCAATACTGATTCACTGAAATTGAAACATTAAATGTTAATGGACTAAGAAACTGAATTATATTATCAGCAAATAACTTTATCCCTTAAACAAGAAAGTGCCCACATATACATATTCCTGCATGCATTACAGGATCTAAGTGAAGTTTCTTCCATCTGTCTTGTCTGCTTCTCCTTATTATTTCAATAGTAGAAACAAATGCCTGTTTATAGAGGCAGAAGATCAAGTCAGTAAATTTAGCCCCATTCAAATGATACACTTGATTTTAGTATGTTTTCTGGGTCCAGGTGGCTATCTTAGGAGTTAGTTTTTTGTGTAGACTACAACATTACTTCTCATTTGAAGGGAACTCCGAGGTACATTGACTTCCATCACTAAAAACAATGTAAGATATAAAATTCAATAGTACACTTATTTTCATTTACAATCACTACTGGTTTTAAAGAAAGCAAAGCATCTCAATGACAAGAAATGGTTGTTTCTGATAACAGAAATATGTGAAAAGCCTAGACAAATGTATCTTTAATCACTATCCCTACTACTGACCCTTGACATCCATTTACAAAACCAATTTCAGCTCGTTCATGATTGAAATAACAAGTCTGTGTTTCTTTGAAACTCAAATTGATGGCCAGGACTATATTGGAAAATATATTCTCTATTCCTTAGATACATTGATCTTACACACACATTTTATACATATTGTTTTATTTTGAATGTGTGTCTTTCATGCTTAAGAACTCCGAAATGAAGCATTTGATTACTTCCTGCTAACAATTGATTAATTGCTTATTGTGGTGGACTATAACATGTTAGAATATATAATAAAGATGTTTTCTAACACAAAAGCTTTCCGTGTGCAATAGATGCTACCAAAAAATGCAGTGCAACAAAGTAACAAGGAGGCAAAACAAAGATTATAGTTAAGAGTAGCTGAAAAGACACACAAATCAACTGCTTTTTCATTTCATGGGATAGTAAAGAAGACGTGTGTCAGCTATTCAGCACCTGGGAAGGGGAACAGCGACACTGGTGCCCTGACTCCAAAGCGAAACTAGAGTAGCTCCCTCACCTGGTTCGCTGGACTTTCAGCCATCCCCTCAGGCTTTCCGAGGATGTGCCTGCATTGAAAACTCGGCTTTTTGAATAGCCTAGTCTCACTGTGATAGATATATCGACTAGAAATGAGTCGAAGGGTTAAACTACAAACCATCAGGTAATTATTGAGCACCTATTGTGAGCTGAGACCTGAGACTCACACAGACAAGCACCCAGTTTTACAGGAGATCCCTGGTTAAATAGAAAAAGCAAGTACATGAAACTGTTTAAAACCAGTGCAGTTCACAAATAGATGCTAAGCTCGATGATGCACATTCTGAGTATGATGTTTTGGAGAAGGGGTTAATATTTGTAGCAATGGAAATGAGCAGCGGAGACTTCAGAGGAACTGAACTGACTTTGAAGGGCTGGTGGAAAGGAGTCAGGGATGACATTCCAAGCACAATGAGCAGTAAGGATGCAGGGGCAGAGGCAGGACTGAACACAGGACACATGCAAGAAAATTTAGAGTGGGTTTCCACAGGGCCCAGGAGCATTATCAAGAGTTGTAACGTTATATCCATTGGGGGGAAAACGCTTCAGTTATGTGACAGGTGAGTAGCATTAGAGGGGAAGAAACAAATACACATTTACACCTGGTTTTTGCTACATTTAGCCAAAAAAAAGCAAGTCAATATGCACTCATCACCTAGAAAGCACATAACACTTTCACAAGGAAATTACATAAATTGTACATAAGCCATTTTTGAAAAGTAGAACATTTCAATTGTGAATCTTCTAATGAGTTCCCTGATTTAAAAAGCGTGCCACAGGAACTGGAGTGATCCTGTTAAAAGTTAAGTCAGATAATGTAACTTCTCTGCTCATAACCATCCAATTAATATCTGCCTCACTGAGAATAAAAGCTAAACCAGCTGTTAGGATCCATTCTACCCTTTGTTCTCTGACTCAAGGCCCACATCAGCAAGCAACACTGGTTTCCTTGTTGCTCCCTGGACACAGCCCAGACCTTTTTCTGCCTCAGGAACTTTGCACCTGCTGTTGCCTCATTCTGAATGCTTGCCTGCTCTACCTTCACATGCCTTACTCTTTGTATACTTTTAAATCTTTACTCAAATGTCACTTTCTCTCTGAATGTCTCTTCCCCTCTTTCCCATAATACCCAGCAGACATTCCTTATCTCCATTCCTTGCCTTATTTTTTCCCACGTCACTTATCTTCTAACATAATGTATCATTTATTCCTCAACCTGTCATCTCATGAAAGAAAATAAGCTCAAGAGGGACCAATGCCTCAAGTACATACTCTGTTCAGAGGTGCATCTGAAGCATCTAGAACAGTCAGGCACCAAAGAGGTGTTCTGTAAGCAGTAGTGAATGTTGAACATGTCAGCCGGTATTTATTTACATTTAGTTGCTTCTGTAATTTACACCTGGTTTTTGAGGTGTAAATTACATCTCATAATATATTTTTAGTACATTTTTTTCATCACTTTATAAGAACAGCACCCATTGCAGATGATTCTAAGAGTTCAATCTGGTTTGTGACCCCTGATAGGAATCTGGTTAAGAGGCAATCCAATGAGCTCAAGTAATCCTATTCTCCTTTTGAACAGAAATTTATCATACAGTTGTTTGAGAAATCACTGGACATTATATCCCTTGGAAAATTTTTCTTTGTGCTTTGTTACATTTAAATTACAAACACTCATAGCACAACCGCTTTAGTAAGAGTATGCAAATGTCAGGGGGAGGGTGTAATTTCCTTGGTTCTGTCTCACTGCAAAGATTTGAAACAGCAGACCCATGTTACAGCTCGATTACAGGCAAAGGAACGTACACCCTCGAGGCACGACAGGCTGACCCTAAAGGAAAGGTGAACAGAAGAGAGGCCAGAGGCCCAGTTTTGGCTCCTCTTTTTAAACGTTTTTTCTCTTCCCCTTGAGCCTGCCCTGTGTAAATTGGGCTAGCCAGGAGGGCTGTCCGTTTCACCTGAGGTCCTCACTCCAGTCCTCCGACCTTCCTTTGTTCTATTTTCGTGGGCTTTTCCCTGCTTTGTCTTTTAGCCACTGCCATTCTGGACTCCCTTTTCTTTTCTAACTACTTAACACAAAGATAATGGGATAAGGGTCCAGGGGATTCTGCCCTTTGGCCCTTAGCTGGCAGGGCTAAATCACAAATAGAGGCCTCTGAACAGACACACTTGGAACTGCGAGAAACAGGCCAGACTGGAGTGGACGACTGGCTTTTACTCTAGGGCTGTGTGTTGCATGATATTAATCCAGATCTGCCTTTCCTTAACCCAAGGGCTGTAGTAATTATGTAAAGCAATGCACTGAAATTCTCCAAGAAATATTTAATTTTTCTCTATTAAAAAAATCTGCATCATATGGAATTTATTTAAGAGACATATATCTGGACATGCTGGCTTGGGAGAGAGGCATGGTTGGGAAAACAAAGCAATTTGGTTACTGCTAAAATTCTTGGAAATCACGGAGTTTAATGCATGGTGATCTCATGAGAGATGATTAAGGATAAGCATAGCATTAATTGCATGAAGGCATGCTTGTGGCCATCAGATATTTTGAAGTTACTTTCAGAGAAATAGTGACCTGAACTATTAGGAAATACTAAATTTAAAAAAAAGTGACTTGGGATAAACAGGCATTTTGGCTACACGGGTGTTCTCTGTTCTCCTTCCTTCCTGCTCCCTCGCTTCTCCCCTACTTCCTTCTCTCTCTCTCCATTTCTTTCTTTCTCCCTTCCTTCTTCCTTTCTTTCTTTTAGATAATCTAATATCTAACCATCCTTTCCCCTCAAATCACTTACATGTACGCATGACTATAAACAGGGGCACCCATATTTGTTTTAAATTTTAGAACAGATTTTAGAGGACAGTCAGTAGCACTTCCTTCTACAGGAAGTTTCAGGTACAAGATTGTCATTTCCTGTGTGGAAACAAAGCACTAATTGTAAGGGAAGGTCAGTTTTGAATCAGAAACACTTCTGAGTCGCTGCGTCTTTTTCAGGAAACACATTCTTGTCTGCAATAAAGAATGCCACTAATTTCCCCAAAGGCCTCAGACTCTCTTGAGAAGAGTGTCAGTGAGTTGCCATAAATGGAATGCGGCACGTCAGGAAGGCCCAGTGTGTGGGGAACACTCAGGTGTGTGAATAATTGGCAAGCCCATAGGGAAACGTGCGGACGGCAGCCTGCACTTGTCCTACCTGATCCGAGACAGGAGCAAAGAGTGGGCACCCTAGTAATATCCACCACCAAGCACATCTAGATGAAGGGCTGAAACTGTCTAAAAACTGTAAATCTATCAAGGGCATTTTCTGGGCTTGTAGTTCCTAACTCCTAATCCAGACTAATTTAAGCAAGTACGGTTTTGCTTGAATGATTCCATCCAAACAGAAATGTCTGCTTCCTCCTTTACAGGTTTTATACCTTCAACTGTTTCAGTTTTGACCTCATAGGTAGAGTACGTTTGCATTTCTTAGCTTTATGCCTTTCATACTAAATGATATCCACATGCTCTTCTGCTTTGTCTTCCCACTGTATCTTGTTTTTCAAGACACAATTAAAATGCTTTCTCTCTGAAACCATCCTACCTTGGACCTGGAGGCAATATTTAGTACTTATTTTTTTAGGCCCCTCAGTACCAAGCAATTTTTCTTAGACTATCTTTAACATTTTGCTGAGTCAGAAATTTTGTTAGTTTTA